CAACAATTTCTGACATTGCCAGTGAAGCAGAAGACCCAGTACTACTATGGACTACTGGACTCTTTTAGAATATTTTGCTGAGTTAACACACCTATAATATTCAAATAATAGAACTAAACAAAAAAGGGGATACAGATGAATATCCATTTTGTATTTGTGTATAGATATATAGTTACATTCTCTTAATGAATAGAGGGATTTGTTCTAATAGAGTTTGTAAATAGGATATCATGTCCGCATCTTGTACAGCAAACAACCACTAGGAAGAATGTATGCAGGGTGTTACTTATTGAAACTGTCCTGCCAATTTGGTTTGAAACTGTCTCATTGCTATTTGTTCATCAATAAAATTATGGGGAAAAACCAAAAATAAATAAAAATAAAAATTAAAAATTAAATTAAATTAAAAAAGGAAGGAGACCTTTCCTGCCGTTGAGGAGGACACGGAGAGGATCTGAGGAACATGGACAGATGCTCTCAGCTGAGACAGGAAGACTGCGAGTTTATGGACTCCTTCTAGGGCCGGATTTGGAGGGGCAGGTTCAGTCACACATACGGAGCTGATGGGGCTTCCTCTTGTGTATGGGAAAGGTATCCAGGACTGGGGTGGGGAAGGAGGAGGAAGCGGTCCTTGGGAAGATAAACTGTTGTTCCGGGGATTCAGCCATGTTGAATCGGGGCCAGGATAATTCAGCCATTTGTACTCGGGCTGGAGCCTACAAGCACTCACAGTGATCGTTTTCATGGCCGCCATTTCTGGACAGACCCTCTTCTAGCCTAGGCCCCTTTGTATTGGACCTTCTTTGTTTGGGAACATGTGTCCTTGACACCCAGGGAGCTGCTGCCAGCTCTTGTTGCTTTAGCTTCCCTTTAGGAAATTGCTGAAATACACAGCTGTGTCTATTCAGCTTCCAGGAATCTCATGTACTTTGCGCAAGTCTCTTTGCAGCAGTACTTGTCATTATGAGAAGTGAGGACGTTGCTAAATGTCCACCAGTTACATAATGGAACTGTGCTATAGCTTTAAGGTGATCCATAATTGTCAAAACTGAGCTCAATCTGGGTGTGGTGGCTCATGCCTGTAATCCCAGCCCTTGGGAGGCTGAGACAGGATCATTCTGAGTTCGAGACCAGCCTAGGCTGCAAAGTGAGCTCAAGGCCAGGCTGAGCTGCACA